GAGTACGTAGGACAAACGAAATGATGTGTGAATGTTTGTTTAAAGGACCTTCATCTTCATCTACCGGAACATTGCAGGTCATGCGGTTGTGGTCCATTTTTGAGAAAACCACCGTCATCTTCAAGCATCCTAACCAACTAACAAGAGAAATTGCTAAGGCCTCTCATATAAAGATTAGGGGTAGCATGTGCATAAGTGAACCATCCGTCACACTACATGAAAAAAAATTTAGTTATTTAAGCCACTCTTGATTATCGCCATAAGTGTGACAGCGCTGCCTCGGTGCACCTCTTGTTCTGCGCATGTTGTGATGTGAGCTGCCAGTACCTACATATATATGTTTCACGTTTTTTCCGATAAAGAACAATTGTGAGTCAACGCTGTCTTTTCTTTTCTCTTTTGCTCCTTCCCTGTCATGTATTTTTAGTGTTGCGCTGTAAAAAAGTTCATGATGGAGCCAGAACTGTCACGCTCTCTTTAATTCGTTTTCCACCGACGCACGGGTCCCCCTTAAACACGATTGTCAGGGGGAGCCTTAAGAACAGTGCTGTCTCATCAGCATTGAGAACGTTGCATGGCTCGTATGTAGAAAGGCACACAGATAGTCCAGACCAGCAGTCCTACACAACCCTTTCGTCAATGGCACCTCTTTCACAGCACACGTTGCGGAACACCAGTCCTTGTTGCTTCTTGAAGCGGTCGAACCAGCCTTCAGACGCATTGAAGGAATCGAATGTTCATTGTCACCGCAAACTTCTCTGCTTGTGCGCAGATAAGGGGGCCACACAAGGGCAAACGCGCATCTCGCGAAATGGAAATCTATCGTAACAGCGCTTCTTCTAGCTTAGGATTGTGCTGCCGTTCGAAGCCTCTTCTTTTGCCGCCAAACATGTCCCCGTCATACGCTTGCATAATCTGCTCTTCGTTCTTCACGAAACTGCTCAGCGTGCTTTTTTTCATCCCTGAACTTTCCCATGACTTCTTTTCGAGATGCGCCCGCCTGCAACGCCTTCAATATTTTCACCTTCGCAGCCAAATATTTTCTTCGTACTTTGCCCTCTTCGCTGCGGGAGTTGAGACGGTAGGAGCTGCAGAAGACGCAGGGGGAGCCATCCCGGCGTCGCTTGCGCAGTGGTCACGCGTGTGCGCACAACCAAGACAACACACACACAAAAAATGCATGGTGATAAAAACTAAATAAATATTCCCAAACTTTTCAAAAAAGGTAACTGTAAGGCATCAAATCGCACTGATAACGTACAAAGATAAATAATTTAAATCACAATAGAGGTGAACAATTCAACTCAACCGTCATGCAAACGTGTTGGACGCGAAAGAAGAAAGGAAAAGCAAAGTGGGTTGCCCATTGCTGACCACAGTAGCAATGCACTGCCTTTCATTTCGGTTGTTTAAACCACCATGTTTCTTTTTGGGGGGGCGCCTCCAATATGCATAGCTAATTCCTACTCATGGACGAAGTTTTGAATCTCTGAGGTCCGCAATTAGGTGCACCGTCGATTTGTCTGGCAGAATCCGTTGCTGCTTCCCTGTCGTGACTCGACCGCGGTCGGGTGTTCGAATTAAGCTGAAGCAGGGCCGAATTCGTCCAAATTTAATGAAAGTTTTCAGTCGTAGAACAATGCACATTTTGGATGGGAGTCAGATGCCGTGGCCAAATGAACCGAAATTCCAAATTTACAGGGGTTGAATTAATGAGATTTTACTGTATCTCAAGTGTTAGGTGATCTTTACAGTGCTGGCAGTACATACTTAGTAGGCTCGCAATAATTCAAACTCTGATAATTTATACTTTCGATTGATCTAACAAAATTCAATTTTTTGGTTGGGCTGTATACTTTCAATATATTTAAAACTATTTTAATTCAAACTCATCATTTGATTAATTCAAACATTTTGCAGTCTCATACCGAAAAATACTTACTGCTTTCCTACTTCTATTTAATAATTTGTGTGCTTATATAATCCTAACAGTGTAGAAATTACAAATAAGCACCTGAGGCATTAAAGGAAAAAGGCTTTTCTAGTGAACAAATGTTTTAAATGAAGCACACGCATGATAAACCATGATGCTTCTCAACTGGTTTAGAGAGGTTTGTGCTGAAGGCACCTGTAGCAAAGAAGCAGTTGGCAATTCACGATTTCTTTAAAAGGTCTGATCAGCAGTAAATGGCCAATAAACGTGTGGACCTTGCACCTCTGCTTCTTGTTCATTGAGTGCAGTTCGCTTTAAAAATTTTTTAATGTGATAACATCAATGCCTAATGAAGTGTGGTGTCATTTAGCCCAGATTCATATATCTGAGAACTTCTGATAATTCAAACTTGGTAATTCAAACAAATTTAGAGGTTCCTTCGAGTTCAAATTAGCGAGAATCAACCTATTTTTCATGTTCTATACAGTAAAAGCTCGTTAATTCAAACCACAAAGGTAAGTTGCCTCAGTTTCAATTAACGAAAGTTCAAACTAACGAAAGTGAAGAACAACAATGGTACATTGCGACTCAGTAGGGCATAACAATTTATTTTTTTAAAAAGTCTATGATATCGGTCTGCCTTCTTTACTTGAAGGCAACAGCCAGCACTTTTTGCTCTATTGAGCGAATTTGGCGGAAGGCCTATTCTCCACCTTCTTCAAAACTTAAGAAGAGATGGGTGGCATTCAATCTGGCCATGACTCCTTCTCATTATCGTGACTGGGAGCGACAGGTTCTGCACTTCTGACCTGACATATTATGTTGTCATCTGTGAGTGCACCACACACCACTGCACTAGAGCTCACATCGATGTAGTACGCCAAGCAGACATCCCAAAAACGTCCGCCATGGGGGCGGTGACGCAGTGATCGAGCATGTGTGGCTCGACAGCTTGCAGGGGTTCGGTACTGAAGCCACAGTGGCGATAGACATTTGCTATCGTAAGTGCTGTCACTTGCTCTCAAGCATGCACAAGCATGTGTAGTGCACTTAAGAGCATCACTTGGCAGTTAAATAATTTGTTCCAACATTTGACGCCGATAAAATCATTTCAAGTTTTATACCCTGGTTAGTAGGCTACAGTACCCCTGTCGTGTTTGCTGGAAGGAAGGCCAGCCCAATGGCATTCATCTCAACATTGACTTTAGGAGCCGAACAGTTGTCCACAAGCAGAAGTTTGCGGCCACAGCGTTCAAAATTCTTGTCATGCTTCCCTCACCGCGCAAACAAATCCCCCGTCATCCAGTCCTTTTTGTTGGCTACGTAGGCTAATGGGAAGGACCGAATGTTCTTCAAGCTACGAGGGCTTTTCGATTTGCCTATCATGAACATCTGCAACTTCTCGGTTCCAGTCATGTTTGCAGCAATCATCAGAGTTATCCGTTCTTTACTTTTTTCCCCCTCCCGTGCACTTATCGCCTTTATACGTGATACTTTTGGCAGACAACAATTTGAAAAATGAGGCAGTTTCATCTGCATTAAATACGTCCTGCGGAGAATACTGTTCATGTAGCCTTGAAGCACATCGGAGCGCCAACCTTCACAAGTTTCATGTTGACGGCGTTCATTTCGAAAACGGTGCAACCACCCATTTGAAGCAGCTAAGTCGTCGTAGTTCAGCTGCAGGGCGAAGTCCGCTGCCTTTGCCAGTATGACTAGGGCACTCAGTGGTATGTCCTGCAAACGCACTTCTTTTATCCCAAATGAGAAGCGCTTTCTCGTGGTGAGGATACTTTGCGGGTCGCAACCTCCTTCTTTTGCTCGCAACTTCCGTCTCTAAGGCGTCTCCTCTTAGAGTCCTCTTATTTTTTACATACGTACATAGCGTCGTTTTCGGTATCCCATGCTTTTTCGCGATATCTTGCTTAGGCAAGAGTCCGGCGTCCACTTCCTGCAGGATATCAGCTTTTTCTTAAGGTGTTTTGGCACGGTATTTGCCGCGGGCACACGCCATCAAGTCAGAGCAGCAGAATCGCGACATACGGGAAGCTACTACTGGCGCTACTGCAACAAACCTGGAAGGCTTTTTGTGGAATAGCAGCTGTGCAGGCTTTGAGAACTGCAGGATCATTTGGGGCCTTGAAGATGTGCCGCCTATCGCAAGTGTTTTCCTCGGAAGCCTAGCCGCTTTGACTATCTGGCGCGCTGCAGGTCGGAATGTTGACTAGGTTAAACTGCTGATTCACTCAAGCCTGTTTGATCGTCGTTTCACATGTGAAACACAATTTGCAATGACGGAAACTTAACCTTCAAGATCCGTCTGCTGTGGTCTGAGCAAGCGAAAACTGCACACCTCGGTTTCAGTGGTGGCGAACAATGTGGGCGGAGGCCGTCGTGTGATAGCTAGCGCGCTGAATTTCCAGGCAGCGTGGACCACTTGAGACACACCCCCCGAAACAGTGGCATGTGCGTGACCACAATCATGTTAGATAAATCGCTGGGTGTGTCCTGTCACCAAACTAGATAAGGCTTCTGGCCAGTACGCACGAAACAAGCAGCAAAATGCTCCTCCCCAATATATCTGTTCTTGGCCTTTTTACAGCCATGATATCATTATCACATTGTTACTCATGGTTCATCAACATTCCAACATAAATTGATATGGCGCTCTCTGGCCAGCCTTGGCCATTGCGCCACAAAAACATTACATCATCTCATTATCTTAGTTTTTCTTTTTCTGTAAGCCTTCTTGTAGGCAATTGTGAATAATTATTGGTTGCAATTTGGCGACATTGAAGTCCCAGCTCGAAACTGACGTACTTGTAAATGTTCAAAACACCAAAAATTTGTTCTAATAGGCTTAGGACATCCAATTTCGGTTGCACAGAACACAGTTCTCATTCTAAGTTATTGTTGTATGCTGATTTCCTTTGTAAGTCTCTCTGTTGAGAAAAAAAACTTGCTTCTCAAAAGGAAAATAAAATATTTGGTGCACTAGAAACTGCTCAATATACTAGAAAAATTGTATGTATATTTGAAATGAATTTAGAAAGGTGTTTTCGGGCAGGTACAAGAAACCTGAGGAGCGGGAGCCCCTGCATGAGGCGATGCAGCTACTGCTGCCCCTGCTGCAGCAGCGGCTGGCACAGCTGCTGGCCGACCAGTCAGAAGCCTCCGTGCTCCTGCAGAAGCAGATCCTGAAGATCTACTTTGCGCTTGTGCAGTACCACTTTCCCTTGGGGCTCATCTCACGCGAAGTGTGCACCCAGTGGATGGAGCTGCTGCGAGTCATCCTCGATCGACCAGTGCCCGATGTGAGCAGTTCTTTGTTTCCCTCGTGGTTGCCCGAAAAAGAAGCTCATATCTCCATGCTGTCGTCCATTCGATTTGAATAAGTGTTGAATAGGTTTTGGACAGAACATGGTTTATTATTGAAGTGAAATGCCTTGTAAAAAAAATAGATACATGATACCGTTAGTGATTTAGTGAACTCACAACTTCATTTGCTCACATTTTTAATGAACTTGCTGCTTAGATCCTGCTGAACAAAATGTCATTGGTTTCTAGAGATGTCAGAGTGTGCAGGGAGTGTGTAATTTTATAGTTCTAGCTTTCCTAGTGTGAAAGTTCCGAAGCTTTAAAGTTCTCATTTCAGTCCGTGATGAAAAGCACTTGGCTTACTTCAGAGAGAGAGAAAAAAAAAAGGACTCATCAAATGACATAACCCAAAAATAACATTTCTGGAAAGGCAGTTGCTTTGGCATTCATTGCTGCCAAAAACCAGCTTCCCCCTCTAATAATCCCTGCTGTTGTACAGTTTAAGTGCAATGAAAGCAAGTCTCATCGCAAAGTCATGTTTGCTAAGCTGTCTGTGCGGTATTCAGCCTACCTATTTAGTTGTATCCAAGAAGGGTTTAATATATTTTTTTTTATTTCCTAAGAACTGGGCAACAGTCTGAGAAATCAGGTTGTCAAAACAACAACAAAGAAAAACAGGCAGGATTTGTGCTTTCTTATATTGTTCATGTGGTCGAATAGCCACGCCCCAATAACCACTGCCATCGACTGGAACAATCTTGCCCCAGACATTGTCTTTCACATCAGCCATGCTCATTTCAAGAACTCTATTAAGTCACACTTTGTAAATGCTAACTTGTTTGTTTCCCCCACTTTTCATGTAAAACCCTCTGATGTGTAAAGGGTCCCTGAAGTATTATTAATAAATAAATAAATAAATAAATAAGTTGCAAAAGCTTGCCAGTGTTGAAAAAATGAACCGGAACAGAGCAACTAGAACGCGCGACTCCAGAAGGGAAGAAGAGAAAGCTGAGGACACAGAGCTCGCGAGGGACGGCAAAACAGATAGTTCGTCGTGACCGTAGAATAAAGTCGCGGTTTATCTTAAGGTATGGGAGCCAGTCGTTTCCTAACATTTGGTGCCGTGGAACCCGGGACTGCCCTTGAGAAACACTTACACGTCACGGCCATGGCGAACTCGGACCAGCTGCGGAGGAAGCGAGGTGCACTCAGGGCTGGCGTCACGCGAGCCCTAATGGATCTTCTGCAGCAAACGGATCCTGACCTCTCGGAAGATCACGTACACCTTGACTATCTCAAGGACAAGGAGCCTACAGTCTCGAGACTAGCAGCGCAGTTCTTTAGCGAACAGGTGAAGATGATGTTGACCGCGAAATCGAAACGGTGCAGGATTATAGCGACAAGATCAGCTACGCCATCGCGTGCGTGAAGTACTGTTTGCAAAATCGTGAGCAAGCTACCACGACGCATGATGAAGGTTCCGAATCAGGATCGAGCAATGCAGACCTCCTGAGATCCGTCGATCCTCCGGACCGTGCGAGAGAGCCACGTCACAGATTCATTGTACTGCCCAGGCTACAGATACCTACCTTCGACGGCAACCTGCGCGACTGGCAGGCCTGGGATCATTACGACGCCACGATCCACCAAAACCCCGACCTACCATGCATCGAAAAATTCAAGTATTTGCTTACGTACTGCAGTGCTAAACGGTCAATCGAAGGAATCCGGTTAGCCGAGCAGAATTATGACATCGCTTTTAAAACACTCATGGATCGGTTCGGACGTCGAGATCTCCTCATCAATGAGCACGTGGATCATCTTTTCGCGTTGACTCCTGTGAAGAGCTCATCAGAAGTTTCTAAACTTCGCACACTTCACGACAATGTGCTGTTCTGGGTGAGCGCTTTAGAAGGCTTCGGGGTGTGCCCGGATCAATACATTGTGGTACTGAATCGGGTCATGATGCGCTGCTTGCCAGACAATCTGGCTATCATGTGCAGTAAACGCTCGTTAACTCTGATCTCACGGGACCGGAGAAAATGCCCGAGTTACCCGAATTCAGAATTATCGAACGTACCGTGAAAACAAAAGGAAAACGTACACGGCACAGACAAACCTTCATTTCTTAAAAAAGTGAGTTATTTTTGCCTGCCTCGCCGTCGGAATTTCTGACAGAACGATCTTATGTTAATCCCATCAGGTGGTGGTGCGCACGTTCACTGTCGCGAGAACAAACGCAGAGCTCCTCGAGGACAGCGAGGGCTACGGCGGCCTCCTGCACAGTGCGGCGACGTTGCGTCGGCTCATCACGTCTTTCAATATTATAACCTTTCTTTCAAGATCATTTGCTGGCTGCTGTGGCCGCTTAACTCCTGTGACGGTCGCCATAAAGCGCGACGGCGCCGACAACGCGCACAAACACAGCTGCAACACGCGAAGTCACAACACAAAGAACGAAGACACAAAGTAGTACGCCAGTAGGCGTTGCATAGGCTAGCGAGCAGATGATAGGAGACACTGGATGCGCCGGTGGCCCAAGCGCTTCCGCCGGGTGGTGACTAGCGCCACCTAGCCACTTCCCCCTCATTCACTATCATCATCGTCATATTCTACTACAGTTCGCTCGGTTTCGGTTTCTCCAAAACTCCGGTTCTACCGTCGGTTATGGCAACCGGTGCTTGAGCCTCCAAGCCACCGAGATCGCCCGGCTCTGGAGTCCCGATAGCCCCCTCCGGAGTTGTCCGAGATAACCGGTGCGCGGCTAAATCCCTCCGAATTAATGAGCATTTGACCTCATTGAAATATACACAGTTTTGCCGGGACGGCGCTGCGAGTCCGAGTTAACCGAATTTTTTAGTTAACGAGGTCCGGATAAACTAGCTTTTACTATAACGACAAAGTATGAAAGAGGATGACCGCGCCAATACGCGCCAATAGCGGGACGGAGACTTCCGGACACAGTCTTCACCGAGCAAAGGACCTGTTCACATTTCGTCGCATCCAAGTAGAAGTGCGGGAATATAAGGCTAAAATACGCATATCTCTTACATCGAACTATTTCGCCATCTCCTTCAATATCGATATATACAGAATCGACTGTATTTGGCTAGCATGTTCTCGGAAGCCTTGACTACCTATCGGCAGAGTTTTCTGACCATGCTCGAAAATTTTTTGCAGGGCCTCTTCAAGGGAATAGGTGCCCGAAGACTGGTCTTTCAATAACTATTTCGGCATGGCAATGTTGCTGGAGCAATGCATAAATTGCAACACTGGTCCAACCAATACGAAAGTTGTGCAATGGAGGATTGCGTGCGAGTTGGGGTCAGGCGATGAACAACCTATTGCAGAGCGATTATATAATTTACTAATACTGCTATGACATAAATGGGAAGTTTCAGCCTTACTATGAGAAGTAGAAGGAACTGGGCCAATTGTGATTCTGCAATGCAGGTGGCCAACCAGGTGGATGAAGATGAACGGCCTGAGCTACCCTGGTGGAAATGCAAAAAGTGGGCCTTCCACATCGTCACACGCATATTTGAGAGGTCAGTGCCCTGTCATCTGCTGGGGCGGCTATCAAGTGCAGAGGCACAAGAGAAACAAGTACTTTTTAAGCTATGAAATTACAAATAAGTTCTGCTGAGGTGGAGCTGTGCATGTTTCATTACTTGCATATTTTCTAATTTTACTGCATATTCGCTTTGTACGTTTATCAGCTACGTGTCCTCTTTTTCCTCAGCAGTTCTGTGAAAAGTATATCAAAATGATTTTGCTATATTTTGTTATACTCAATGCTGTAGTGCAGCAATAATCGCTCGTTGCATCTGTAATTCGGGGTATAGAACATTTTCACGGAGAGGAGGAGCGTAGCCTCTAACTGGTGCATTTCTTTGGTTCTCCCTCTCTCCCTCATGTATACGACCGCCCCGCCAATGCTATTGGTGTGAGGGGATTACTCGTGTTTTGAGTGGTGTGATGTGTGAGAGCTCAGTGTATTGCATGGTGCACTTCGCAAGCAGTGATGTTCCGTGCAGGGAATTTTCTCTTTTTCAGGGAATTTTCGCCTGTCATTTTGAGCCAAAGGGAGAAAAGGAATCTTCGTGATATTGCAGGGAATTTCAGGATTGGTTGAAATCTTCTATGACGACGAATAATTAGTGGTCATACTGACTTCATCTACTGTAATCGGTTCTGATGCATGCACCACGCAAGCATGGCTCTTGAGATTTGCTTCTGATACTTACCCGGAGCGATCTCTAGTTCACTAGTCATGTTAGACTTGAAGCCAACTATGTGCAGTCTGCTAAGAATATATGAATTGGCTATGCTTGCGTTGGGCAGTAGTGGAGGGGCTAGTCGTGATTTCAAGAATTCCCAGTACGTGAAACACGTGTAATTCTAGTATGTGTGTGCTTGGAGGGGGGGGGGGGAAATCAGTACTGTTGTGCAAGAAAAATATGACGGGAGTTTCGTGAACGTTTGCAAGGAAAAATCCTCAAAATATGGAATTTTCATGAATATAACTGTCCCCAAGTGCATCATGCTTCTAAATGACTCCACGTTGTACGCTTTCTTCTACAACAAATAGTTTATTATAGGCAGTGTACTTGTGGCCATCACACCAGTTATGTTTCTGCTTGGATAATGGCACACTTTATCATCTGCATCGAATAGAAGGAAAGTCAAGGCTGCTGGGTAATATAGTAAGCACGTTGCCAAGAATTCTCATGTAACATCAACATCCCTCATTCCTATCCCATACAACCATTCTTATCTCATGCAACAGCACATGAGTAACAGTGCCTGCAACCAGCGAAGTCAGGTTATTATGTGTGCAGTTTTGAGATACCTTATTTACTCACATGATGTAACACAATAATTTTCCTGCACTGCTGTACAGGGGGCAGAGCCTTGTCAAGCTGCACAAGTTCAGCTTTTTTCACTGGTCTCCTATTTTCACATTTTCAGTGCACTGTATTTGGGCAGTGCCAAAATAAAATTCGTATTGATTGATTGATTGAAACACAACCCTATACATTCATCCGCTGCAGCCCCGCGAACTGACGCATGGCACCTCTGTGCCCAGTGATCTTTTCTGTTTATTATGCTGACCCCTCCTTGCTTCGCTCCTCCCCGCCGCTCTCTCAGTGCACGGCACATCCACTGTCTTTTCTAATTATCCATGTGCCACAGCGAGATTCAAGAGCACTGTGAATGTACAGACATCGCAACTCACAAGCGCACAGCTAGGGAAGGTTATGAAACTGCCTGTCTCAACCAGTGGCCTCTCCCTGCAAATACAGAGGTGAAAGTGTTGCACCAATAGACCGGTCTCACCGCGAGTTACACTACACCATGGTTGTTACATTGCATGCCGGTAATTGGAGTACTCAGTACGTTCAGCTATACGGCGAGCCGAATCGAGCTGTAGCAGCCGTACAGTCGATGTCCGATTTCTCGGACCCTCAAGGGACCGCGAAAACGTCCGGAAAATCGGGCAGTCTGGACAAACTAACGCACGTGAAAACCCACCTTTTTGTAGGTATTTTTCACTGACGGAGAGGGTAACGGCCGGAGTACAAGATTTCTTTTGCAATTCAGCCAATGCTTCATTTAAGTGGCTCTGAAAAGAGCCGTTTATATATATATATAAAAAAAATTTTCGACGTGGCCGGTGCTACCTCATAGATCAGAGCACTTGGCGCAAAGAAGTCGCCTATTTTCTTTTGCACAGCGTTCCGCTTGCCCGCAATCATGTCTGCCTCAATTTCACTCAACGTCATGTTGCCGCTGTACTCCGATGACAGTGTCGTCAGTGCTCCTGTCAACTTCGAGCATGTTGGCTGTGTAGCAGATGGCTCTTCGTTCTCAGTGTCGGAGTTGTCAGAATCTTCCCTAACTTGACGAATGATTTCATCATCCATCAAGTCCGCACATAGCTTGAGGTCTTCGTCATATATAAAAAAAATTTTCGACGTGGCCGGTGCTACCTCATAGATCAGAGCACTTGGGCGCAAAGAAGTCGCCTATTTTCTTTTGCACAGCGTTCCGCTTGCCCGCGATCATGTCTGCCTCAATTTCACTCAACATCATGTTGCCGCTGTACTCCGATGACAGTGTCATCAGTGCTCCTGTCAACTTCGAGCATGTTGGCTGTGTAGCAGATGGCTCTTCGTTCTCAGTGTCGGAGTTGTCAGAATCTTCCCTAACTTGACGAATGATTTCATCATCCATCAAGTCCGCACATAGCTTGAGGTCTTCGTCATATATAAAAAAAATTTTCGACGTGGCCGGTGCTACCTCATAGATCAGAGCACTTGGGCGCAAAGAAGTCGCGTACTTTCTTTTGCACAGCGTTCCGCTTGCCCGCGATCATGTCTGCCTCAATTTCACTCAACGTCATGTTGCCGCTGTACTCCGATGACAGTGTCATCAGTGCTCCTGTCAACTTCGAGCATGTTGGCTGTGTAGCAGATGGCTCTTCGTTCTCAGTGTCGGAGTTGTCAGAATCTTCCCTAACTTGACGAATGATTTCGTCATCCATCAAGTCCGCACATAGCTTGAGGTCTTCGTCAGTGTCGGCGAAGCCCTCAAAGGTTATCCCGGCTGGAATCAACAAGCCAGCAGCGCGCAGATCATCGAAGGCAACATTCGTGGATGGCAGTTCGTCACAAATGCTGTCCACTTGGAGTGAGATGGCCGTCTCGGCGTCGAGTGTGAAGGCCGCGTAGTAAAAACAGTTCCGCAGAGTCTCTTGCATAACCGCCTTCCACGATTCCGCTAGCATGCCGACGGCAGACTTGAGGTCAACAGCGTAGCTTTTCCCGTTGTCGGAGCAGAACACCATGTGGCTGAGCACGCAGGATTTTTAATGAGGCTTCAAGTTCCAAATCACGCCTTGGTCTATCGGCTGCAGGATCGCTGTGGTGTTCGGCGGCAGAAATTCAATCTGTGCAGCCTTTAGGTTCTTGATGTGGTCATGTACAGCACAGTTATCCACAAACAGCAGAACTCTTCGATTTCGCTGCTCGAACCTTCTGTCCAGCTTGCGTACGTGCGCTTCGAATAACTGGTGCGTTACCACACCTTCTTGTTAGCTTCACAGAGAACAGGCAGAGTCACTGCCCCCTTGCAACATCTTGGATGCTTCAACTTGCCTAGTAACGAAAGCTTTTCGCTGCCTGACATGTTGCTGCCAACGAGGACAGTGAGCCACTTCTTGCTGGGCTTGCTGCCATGGCAGAAGTTACCAGCAAATGCAAGCGTTTTCTCTGGCAGCAGCTTGTAGAACAGCCCAGTTTCCTCGCAGTTGAAAATATCATTAGGTTGAAACTGCTAAAGCAACTGCAGGTTTCTATCTCGATATTTGGCGACAACGGAATCGTCGACGGCGCCGCTTTTCCCCGCACGCACATCTTCTTGAACTTCAAGTCATTGCGCCTCTTGAAATTGCGAAGCCATCCATCCCTGAACTTGAAGTCTTTCACACCCATCTGAAGCGCGAAAACCTCCGCCTTCTGCTTCAGGATGTCGCCTGACACAGGGATTTTCTTAGCGATCATGGCACTGAGCCCCACGACGAGCGCTTCCTCGAGCTTCAGGTAAACACCCTGGCTCGCAATCTTCTTTCCAATCCGGGTTAATTTGGCAGCCACTTCCAAGATCTTCACCTTGTTTTTGATGAAGTCCGAAACAGTTTGCTTCGAAATTCCGAACTCCCTCCTCATCTCTGCCTGCGACCGACCGTGTTAGACCTGTTCAATTATAGCGGCTTTCTGTGTTTCTAAGGTGTGGACAAAGACAAAGGAGCAGTCGGTGCCATCGCTGTAAATGGCGAATCCACTCGAAGAAAAGCGCAGCACAAAACAGCTAAGAACTCGGTGGATGTTGAAGGTCAGGAAACGTGATCACTCAAGATAGCGCGCAGCAGCGAATGATCAACCGCAGACATGACCGCAGAGCTGACAAAACAACACGTGAACGAACTCAGTGAGGTTTGGCTTGGCTAAGCCACTAAGCTACGGCTGACAGCGGATTGACCCGTCTGGTTTCGAGGTTACGGCAACCGCGGTGCGGCGGTTGGCGACGGTGCTGCTGGCCATACCTGCGATGCGGTTATGGTGGGTTCGAGGCGGCATCAGTGGTGACTTTGGGTCGACGGTTAACAGTAAAAAGTCCAGTAAATCGGATGCCGAAGGCTATAAGGGTCCAGAATTTCAGACATTTTAATACATTTACTCTATAAGGAACTTGACGGTGCCACAGGTGAGTCCAAGTAATGGGGCATGTCCAAAATTTCGGGTGTCCGGGAAATCGGACATCGACTGTATTTGCATGAATCGTAATGGTTGGGTTCATTTGCTGTATGCTGGGATGCTAGAGGAGCAGCCTGGAGCAAGGGGACTTTGATATTTCGTGTGTTTTCAAGGGATATCAAACTCGACAGTCAACGAAGTCGGACGACACAGTGGCAAATACGCGCTCTTACAACATGTAGTTGAAAGTGTTTGCGATTTCGGTGTGTATAACATAACGTACGGTAGTT